ACATAAATAAGCAATTTTATCCAACCAATATCATGAAATTCTTCTAGCTCAAAACATGGAATCCGGAATAAAAAACAAAACCATCTTTCAATTTTTCCCTTTGATATTTTAGATGAAGAGCACTTGAAGACTATATATTTATTAAAATAAATGAGAAGAATACAATTGAAGTGGTAGAGGTAAGAAGAGGCTAGTGAATGTTACTTGGGGAAGAGATACTATAGCTAAAGGCCCTAATTACGGAGGCCAATGGTCAAAGGACAAAGAAATCATCTTAATAAAGTGTCAAGCTACTATTTTTTGGTGTGAAATACCCCTTTTACCTTTCAACCCAAATTAACAAACAAATAGCAATGGAGGATACGTTTGATGACCGTTATTGGTGAATGGCAGCTTGAACCCTCTCTATCTCCTAGAGATCCGCTATGGTAGGAAGTTGTGTTGATAGTGGTAACAAATGGTGTTGATAATGAATGAGAAAGAAGAACATGATCTTATATGAAAGCAATGTAAAAAGAGATAGATGAAGGTGTTAGGCACTTTGTGGCACAGGATAGGACGTATTTGGTCTTGCTAGTGGTCAATCTACGATCATGCAATCACATAGAAACTTAACGCTACAGAGGGGTTACATAAATGTAGGTTTCAGATGGTGTTGGAATCCTCCTAATAAGAAGATTAATTCAGGTAGACTATGAATTGTTCCCCAAGGCATAAAACATCAAATTTTTTACGTAAATGCCTGATACATTTAACTTTCATTGGTGATTGTTGAGTTAACAAACAAGTAATATTAAATTTAGTAGATCGAACAAATAATGAAGGTTGGATATTAAAGTTTGGGTGACTATGTAGTTATATTTCTAGGACCACATGAGTAACCAAGCACTTTAAAATTGAGACTGTGTAAGAAACCAAGCGCTTTTAAGTTCTAAGTGGGAGTACACTAGAGCAATTCAGTGCACTTTTGTAGAGGGATAAAAAAGCTATTTTAAGGTTTGTATCATCGGTCCAAGTGCCACCAAAAAAGTATTGTGCACACACAAAATTTGATGCCCAAAGAGAAGCACGTGAAATCTTAACCACCCCTTTCCAAAATCTGGAGATATGGCTAACAAGTTTCGCAAAGATCACTGAGCCTCCTTCAATAATAGTATTTACAGATGAGACACTTAATCCCATGTTGTTGATTATTGATTAAGAAAGGTTTCCACCACCATTTAAAATGAAATTAATATTAAATAAGAAAAAGCTGTGAGCACCACATCCCCCAACATAGTCAATGAGAAGAAACACTTACAATTGACCAATCGAAGCCCCCTGCTTAAGCCACTGTATGCACATTTTATTCTTTCTTTTGCAAATCTTATACCTTTGAATCACCATACAACTGACCAATAAGTTTACTTATGTAGACGAGTGTTCCCTTAAAAACGACTCTATAGTCCTTATAATCAAACTCATAAAAGGAGGTGATCCACCCAACATGATTTGATAGGATCTTTTGGAGTTTAATAAAGATGGAGAAGTAGTTTGTAGATCAAAATAATTAAGTTATTTAATGTTCCTATCAAGTAGTTGCCTCTAGACTACACACATTCGAGTCATGAATACATGATACATTGAATCATGATAGCGAAGTCATAGGAGATGAACTTTGGAGTTTCGTCTTTTGAGAGAAAAAACATAACATTGAAAAACTTGAGATAATCAGGGACCTCACATATTTAAACTAATAGTGGTCATCGTAGTAGCAATACAGTTAACACCTTTGACGCATCATTGTTTCTTGTGATCATGTTGGTTGCTTCTACTTTAATAAGGCACAATACAATTAGAAATAATAACTTGCAGTTGAGAATTAAGTTTGTTCAATATAGTTAACACTAATGGAAATATATTATTTGGAATTTCAACAGATGCTATGAGAATGGGAGTATGTGTTATAACAAGAGGGTTGCTAGTAGGTAATAGCGTTCCAATCTTAAGTTGGCCAAGACTTGCGTACACGGTTATACCTCAAATCAATGTTGACTTGAGGAGAGACGAGTGAGGAAGCGTTGGTGAAGAGGGATTTAACAAGAAGAGTGAGGAAATTGAACGAAGGAATAAGAGCCAGGAGAACATTTATAGGTTGCACAAAGGATGTATCAGCAATAAGGGTGCACAAAAATATCTGTATCAGAGGAAATATTTGAATCTGTACCTGTTAGGATGCAGATATGGTTACTAAAATCTATATCTGACAGAATATGGCTACAGATACGGATGTGTAGTGAAATATCCGGATCTATATCTGAAATACTCAAATATATGCTGGTCATACAGTTATAGCAATTTTAATCCTTAGATTAATGAATTTGAGCTTAAATTTTGATGATCAAGAAATCGAATCTTAGCTTTTTCAGATACAACTAAAATGTTAATGAACACTCTTGTATTATATAATTTATATATTTTTCAATATAATCTAATTTTCTTATATTTGTTTAATGCCGTGCATATCCATTTATATATCTGCATGTATATTCGTATCCATATCCAATTTTAGCGCATATGGATATGAACTTTCATTATCCAGGCATATTTGTAGCTCCATCCATGATTGGTAAGTGGATATGGATATGATAAGTATCATAGTCAAGCTGTATCCGAATTGTATGCACCCCTAATTAGCAACCAAAACAAGATGTTAAGGAGAGTAAATGGACTGGGCCTTTAATACTAAGGTCGAATGTGAAAGTTACATGGGAGGGGATGATCGCTATTATGTTGACCGATATTGCTAGGAGGCTAGCTATTATGAACAAATTGGAGAACATAAGCCTAGGGCTCATTTATAAATGGGTATATTTCACATAATTATCATAAACTATTAAGGATTTGGCACAAGAGTATACAAACTAATTTTATTAGTAAAACACCACAAATGTTTTTGACTAAACTGCCATGACAGCTTGATATTATGTAAGTTGGCATGTCATGCACGTCGTATACTTTGAACATTTGTGCCATTGTTTACTTTAAACTGCTACTCTTTCACTATCTACCTCTTCTTAACTATTCGGGGTTCCTTAGACTTTTGAACAACGTTGTTGGCACTAGAGATGTAATTTTATGATATGTATTATTGCTTGCATAAAAGTCCGTGGTATATTTCTCTAAAAGGTGATGATAAGTAGAATTAATGGATTGGGCCTTTAATACTAAGGTCAATGTGAGAGTTACATTAGGATTGGATGATCATTGCTATGTTGACCGATATTGCTGTTCGGCTAGCTATTATGAACAAATTGGAGAACATAAGTAATGGGGCTTATTATATAAATGGGTATATTTTCACAAAATTATCATGAACTATTTAGGATTTTGCACAAGAGTATCTAAACTAATTTTATTAGTAAAACACCACAAACGTTTTTCAATAAACTACCACGACTGATAGATAGTATGTAAGTAGGCGTGTCATGCACATCATATATTTTGAACATCTGTGCCCTTATTTACTTTAAACAGCTACTCTTTCACTATCTACCTCTTCTTAACTATTGGGGGTTCTTTAAACTTTTTGAACAACGTCGTTGACACTCGTGAGATAATTTTATGATATGTACTATTTCTTGCATAAATGTTGGTGGTAGTTTTCTCTAAATTTATGGTATTTTTTGTGCAAACCCCACAATAAATCATGGCAGTTTAGTGAAATTTATCCTTTATAAAGGATCTGCACAATTTAGGTGCAAAAATAACGACATCAGGGAAAGTGAGACAAAGGATATTAGTTCTGTGGCTGCAAAAATAACACCTCTGAAGTTAGAATGGTCGAGCAATTTGTGTGAGAAAATTGCACACAGAAGACATAGGGTAGGAGCAGAAAACATGAACAAAGAAAGTCAACAAATTCAATTCAAATGGGATCTTCCTGCATAATGTTAAAACAAGGCCTTCAATCTCATGCATCTGAATAATACAGGATTGCCTGATGGTCCTAAAGGGTGACGAAAGGTCTAGACCCATAGATCCATGGGAGCCAGATGGATGTTTTGTCCTGGGATCAATGGTGTCCTGAGTAGATGGAGGATTCCACTATCTTTGAAGCAATCTAGCTGGCTATTCGTTGAAATGAAAACGAATGATGGTGTTAGTGAATGACTGGACAATGTGGTGTTTCGAAGGGTGCCAGCAAAGTATTTTCAGCATTAAGGATGATTTAGAAAATTTTTTGGTCTTTAAGCACAACAAAGTTGCAGTTGTTGGTTGGCAACAAAACAAGAGTCCTGGAGCAGGGTTAATGCAGTAGATTTTTATTGGGTAGAGAAATTGGTCAAAGAGGTATCCATTTAATGATGATGCAGATGACTCTATCAGATCCTCCAAACAATGTGAATGGGAGTGGACGTGGTTGAAATTAGCTGTCGCAGAAGCAACATATAAGAGGTAGACTTCATACAAAAGAAGAAAGGGTTGCTGGAGGCAATCTGAACTTGGTGTACATCTATTATTAATGAGATGCCCGAAGAAGAGAAGGAACCATGCGGGCAAATAATATTCATGAGAGGTTGGTAGAAAATTTGAGGCAACTTCACCATCAAATCTATGGGAAATCCACCTACAACGCCATTGTTAGACTTGGCAAAGAGCTGGGGAACGAAGTCATGGGTGATGCTTATAATAAACATGAGCCTAGAATGATATGGTAACCTTGAACAATTAGTCACAGACGGAATTCAGGACAAAAGAATTTAGCAAAGCCGGGAGAGGGTGTTAAGGAAAAAAAAATCCTGATAAATTCTTATCGTGAGGATGTCAAGGAATTTGCTTTTGGCCTCTCGTAATTAATTAGACCATCTTCCTTTATTCTATGAATCAATCTACCTCTCAATGTAAACTCAATTCCAAGCAAATCAACTAGTTACCAAACAAAAGCATCAACATTAAATAAACTTCCAATTATGCGAAAATCAAAACCTGAGAAGCAAAATAACATAGAGATTACTAACCCCACGTGTACAGC